CGGACAAACATCCATGGCTTCAGTGGGATTCGAACCTACGGTCCCAGCGACCAAGCGGCACAAGGCCCACGCCTCAGACCGCGCGGCCACTGTGACGACTGTATGTTAAATATCAAATATAAATAAACTAACAAAAATGTTTTATAAAATATAATTTACTTAACCGACATGTCTAATCGTAATTATCTGACAACACTGGGGAATTATTTGATATTGGTTACTAACCACATTAAATGGAACCGAGCTAAACCTAACTGAACCCAATCCAACTAAAAGGAACGCAACTAAACCAAACCAAACCCAACCAAATGGATCGAAACCCAACGAAATGGAAGTAAACTAAATCACCTACACGAAACACTGATAAAAAGTAACTCGCATTATGTCTGCCGGAAGAATGACGTGTGGGGAATACAAGTAAACAGCGTTGTTCTCGACAAGGAAAGTAAACATTAAAACCAGGGCTGTGGAGTCGGAGTCTGTAAAAATATACCGTCTCCGGTCTCGATATAAAATCCTAAGAACAATTTCTATACAGTGTGAGCCGCTGTCAGCCTCACGCTCAGGGAGATTCAACGACGCGTTGAGCCACATGATGTGGGAATAATGTCTTGTAACTTTGGCTTCCGTACCTTAAGAACACAAACTGTCTACAAATCAACCGATTTCTGCAATAACCATGAGACGTGTATTTAAATATAGGTTATAAGTCTAAACAGTAGGCTGATGATTAACGTGGTGGTGATGAAATATCTTGTGGTACCATTTACCATTTTAGTAGGTTTACCCTTATTAATACATATTGAACTTTTATGAATGAGTCGGGGTCGGAGTCGGAGATTTTAGTACCGACTGCACAGCCCTGATTAAAACTTTCTAGGGCTTGCGTGATAAACATGCCCGGGCGTTGTGTTCAACGGGTGTTACTGAGTGCGAAGCGGTCTGTTAATGTGTCACCTGATGCGGGAATGGAGCCAAATCAGAGAATATATCACACAACCCACAATGTTCAGAGTAACAGCTGTGTAGCACATCGACAAATCAACATAAATTTAGACTGAATAATTTAAACTTTTTATATGCTATCAGGTACTTCCTTCAGACCGAATCAGATCTGGGGGAAACACAGCCTCCTATCCAATGCGCTCCGGGGTATTTTCGTTAGGAGTAAAACGGCCAGCACTTCATAAGCATGCATGGTACGGTGCTTAATGATGGCTGTCTTCTGGGTAGTTGCGCCGTGTAATCTGGTAGAAGCATACCGACGTTACAGAGGAATTTAATGCTTCCATAGTCAGGTCGCAACAACTCAGAAGTTTCGCCGTCATGAGAAAGTGAAACCTCACCGGCATGGTGCTTAGTTAAGGAACAGAACTCTTTTACTAGCCAATTGCCGGTTTATCGACCAAGGTTTTCTTAAAATAAATGTATTTAATTAAACTTCTTATGTCTTATATCAGGCATCTTTAATAAAACTCCTATTTAATAACTGTAACAACGCGTATATTAATCTACAAAACAAAACTTTGAAAAACCCATATACAATGTAAACAGCGCATTTAAATCTCTTAAAGTGACCCATGAAATTAATGCACTGCAAGATACAGTTCTGAATTCTTATTTTTAAATTAAATTCAGATTTTAAAAACAGGTAAAATATACGTCATCTCGCTTACGAAATAATAGTGGCTATAAATCGCTTTTCATCTCGCTTACGAAATAATAGTGGCTAAACGGCCAGCTTTATGCATTACTGTATTGGTCACATCAAACGGATATGACGAAAGGGGGAGGGAGAAACAATGATCTTTTATTTCGATAAACGTTTCCCCACTGATTTGTATTAATTTTTAACTTTCAGGATAACTTTTATAATTCATTCATTCTTTCATTGTAGTTTACAGAGACAAGTGAAATGTCTGTCTCAATCAAGCTACTACACAATAGTAACATTGTTTCGCTCGAATGATCGCGTGTTTCACAGCGTATAAGGTTATATATCCCGTTTCACGAAAATCCAACAGTCCGAGGACGGGGGGTGAGGGTACGAACGAGATACATGCAAATAAAAGGCAGGGCGTGACCACCTCTTACCTATAATTCACATTGATTCAGTCCATATAAAAGACATCACAACTGCAGTAGACATCATTGAACAGCAGTGCTCGTTACAGTTTACATCTCCACCAGATGGCATTCATGAAGGTACAGCAGCAAAACAAATAGGATTACAATTGTAGAGAACAAGTCTACTTTATTTATATTGCATTTCGAGTCCACATGTAGCATAAATATATTTGTTTAGAAGCTCATATAAAAGTTTATACCAAGCTATTTATATTACAAATCCATACTTAAATTACATAAATTAAATATGTTTTCTATATTTAAATAAATGGGGGTTTCGTACGATTATATGTACTATTAAATTAACCGATACAAAAAGCAACATTTTTAACACGTTTAAATTTTATAAGAAATGATCCAATTTAAGGCAGAGTCTTTGTTAAAATAATTTATGTTCGTGTCATAAAATTATATTTGCTCTTACCATGTCTAAAACAGAAAGAGGCAGAAGTATTACGAGTACGTAAAGCTATCTTATTGGCAGCTTAATTTAAATTTCTTAAAAGAAATGTAGGAAGATCTTAAATTGTTCTGTTGCAATTTGGCATTGACTTTTCAGTGTAATAAGATAAATCTGAAATTATACGTAAGTGTATAGAACATTATTTACTAATGACTATTTTCAGAAGTTCCATAATTTGTACGAGGGTGGCATGTAGCACGCATGGGAAGACGTAATATGAATACAACATTTTGGCTACAAATCCTGAATGGAAGAGACAATTTGGAAGAAATAGGTGTAAGCGGAGGATAATATTAAGATGGATCTTGGGTAAATGTGGTTGGAGGGAGTAGATACGATTCATCTCGCCCGTTATATGAATCGAATGAGGGCTTTTCTGAACACGGTAATAAACAATCGGGATCCATAAAATTAGTGGAATTTCTTGACTAGCTTAATGTACTATTAGCTTCTCAAGAAGAACTCTGTTCCATGGAGTTAGTTAATGCTACTTTAAACAAATAAAGGAAACTTGCAATCAGCCATTTTGCAATAAATGGGTATTCATAAATTTTTTGATACGCGGCCTAATTTAAAATTATAAACAAGAAATATGTAAGTCTATTCACGTCTATAAAATTATATACGCTAAAAAGAACGGCCATTACCTGTTGTATAAAAAAAGTTTACTGTTACTTTAACACAGAATGCCTTTGAAAAAATCTGAAATCTACATTTATACACAACTATTCCCCCTTGTTTGTAATAAAATTTTCGTCGAATTTCGAGTTTAAATCCAAAATATCTATCTCCGTTGAACTAACGGACACAATAAATTATTACACTGATTTAACCGCAATAAAACTCATATACTTCATTTCACACATTATTTCGTCATTAGTTTCTTATAGCACGATGTAGGAGGCTACTACATATTTATGACAGAACATATATGGCGAGATTTTAGGTTCTGACGGCGGCGAGACATCAACTTTACCAGCATTACACAACATAAGCTTCCAGTTACCAAACACCATTTCTACAGATTCATATAAATTTTCTCATTAATCGAACGTGCTATCGTTTCAGGTTGTGATATTCATCGCTCTGCTAGCAGTCAGCTATGCAGCTCCTGGCTACGAGATTAATTCCTATGGTCACTATGGTCCTGTGGCTGCAATAGCTCATGCCCCTACAGTGAGCTATTCTCATGCCCCTACAGTGAGCTATTCTCATGCCCCTACGTTGAGCTATTCTCATGCCCCTACGTTGAGCTATTCTCATGCCCCTGCAATTGCACATGCTCCCGTGGAACTGGAACATCACGTGAGTTGCTTTAACGAACGGTTCTCAGGTAGCCATTAAATTGCTGTTTTGATCCATAAGGGAGGTGTAGAATTGTAATAAAAGTGCATCAAATTTAAAATAGGTGATAACTAGTATTAATGTTGTCCCCACTGTCATCATACTGGTTAAAATTTTTACTTCACGTATTCAGAATATTACGTGATATATGAAGTTACAAATGTATCAACATTATTTCTATTAGTGATGTCTGCTACCATTATTTGGTAAATATATAATAAAGTAAAAATATAAACACTTTAAGGAAGAACGCAGTATGAATTTCCTTCCAGGAAAACACGTATAAATCTATTTCTTAGAAAGACAATACTAACCTTTAGAACATGCATCAAATGATCTATCTTAATAAAACGTCCCAGCTAAACAAACACCAATTACAGATGAAGTAAAATCTCCAGTATATCGTCTAAACTGATTATTCTGACCCCAATAATTAGAAGGAATTGTGGAAATTTTTAAAATAATAATTAGAAATATATGTGTGTATGTATGTGTGATAAATCCTTCTCAAAAGTTTAGATATTTTCATATGATAAAACACAAAATTGTTTGTGCTTAAAGGTTGTGCTTTAATTGAAAAATTTATAATGCATATGTATCTTACAACTTTTCCAGCTTAGTGTAAAGAATAAAATGGTTGAAGGTAAACTTATTATACGGATTAACTTAAAACTATCGCATGAATTTGTCATCTTATCCGGTGTTCATCACTTACATATAAGATCAAAAACTTAAAGAACATTGTTATTAAAAGATTTCAAAAATGTTAATGATTACTCATACACATGCAGTTTCACGAAGCTTTTTAACAAATCGTCACTTCAGTTTAAAACTTCTGATATCAAAGAGGTAAAATAACGACCACATATTCCACAAAACATTTCATGTAAAATGATCATGACAAACGATCCTACAAACCTCTCTTTCTCATGAAGCGAAAATGGCTACAAATATTAAGTTGTTGTGAATATTTTATCCAGGCTCCGGCTAATTACGAGTTCAGTTACGGAGTTAAAGATGGCCATACCCACGACATTAAGGAACAGGCCGAGAAGCGAGTTGGAGACAAAGTTGATGGTTACTACAGCCTTGTTGAACCTGATGGCACCACCCGAACTGTACACTACACCGCTGACGATCACAACGGATTCAACGCTGTTGTCAGCAAGTCCGGACACGAAGTTCATCCAGCCACGGCAGTGAACGCAGCAGCAGTTGGTCTCAGCTACCCAAAAGCAACCCCTCTCGTCACGTATCCTGCTGTCCCCAGCTACTCTCACGTAGCTCCCGCGGTGAGCTACAGTAACGCACTGGGACACGGATATTCTGCAGGCGGACTAGGACATGGACCCAGTCTGGGACACGGTTATGGAGGGTATCATTAACTTCAACATTATCAGGTCATGATAACTGCATCGGAAATAATTTCACAAGCATTTTGAATTTCATATACATACGTATTTCAATGACAAATTATTATTCTATAATCCTGGAAATTTCTACGTGTCACTGGCTATGGGCTGGATAAGCGGGGATCAATTCTCGGCAGAAGCAAGAATATACTCTTCTCTTCGGCACCGAATCCATATTGGTTGTAGGTTGCAGTTTCCTATCTATTTGGTACTGGATTCTTTCGGGGTGGGGGGAAGATCTTCATCCACTGCCGAGGTTAATGAGTGGAACTTAATCTCTACTCCTCGGAACTTCATAGCATGGGTCTTAATTAAACATCACCACTCTGACTGTATTCATTCAAACGCTTCAACTTAATATGAAATACACAGCTCAACTTTCTCTTTATACACTTAAAATTCCCACACATGTTACATACAATCCCTTGAATGCATCCTGATTTCACAAAACCTTTAATTTTCCACGTGCATGTTAAATTTTATAACACATCATGATTTGTGAAAAATAGTTAATAGCATGAGTAATGTATTTTTCATATAAACTTGCAGTTTTGTTACTTATGCCGCTGTTATATTGATGGTGTTATAAATAAAATAATATTACCAGATCGTCTTAGGTCATTTTCACCCAAATGAGACCACAATCCAACTAAAATACTGAAACATATAAGATGTGTTCATACAGGAGTCTCGAAAAGTTATGTACACAAAGTTAATATACCGTATTTTAACAAGTGTATTTTTTGTGACATTCTGTATATGCCTCGCGTTATCTAATGATATACTGAAACAATATACAAGACATGCTTAAATTTAGACATATAATATGCGAGTCAGGGACGAAGTTGTGTGTGTCAGTGTGTAAAACCTATTATAAGCACAAACGCCCGGGAACAACCAGCAACTTCGATATAAAACTATAATTCATCATGAGATACTTAACTGAGATGTCTGTTTTAAAATTAACTGTTTAAGTTAATACATTCCTAAACAACAAATACTTGAACTAAATAATTCCATGAAGCAGAATCTTTGAGAAGCAGGACGTTTAAGAAATTCCCCGCTTTATAACCTAAGAATCATTTTCTTGTTTAAAAAAAGATAAAACCACCAGTCCTTATCCTTAAGCAGAATAAAACCATCTATTTCTCTAAGTTACATTTTAATATTATCTCATCATTTAAGTCATGTCTTCGAGTCCGAGCCCTTTAAGTTCTCCAATTTATCATCTTCCTCATACGTACTACAAGCCCAACCAATCTACTCTCTTTTGATGTTATCATCCTAATTATATACACATGCATATGTGTGTATAGAGTACAAAGGTCCTGAGCTATATCGTAGCGAGTATGCCCAGAATTAAATCTGCTCTTATTTCTTCGTAAATGCAATTTTGACTTGTCGATATTAATATCCGAATTCCTTTTAAATATATACCAAGACGTCGGTTTAATATATTACCTACATTTTGAGCCCTAGAGATAATGGTAGTACGTTCTTCGGAAACGTTGGTATCTAATTGCAAGTCCGCACAGTAGAGCTTCAAGTCCCATTTCTGGTCCTTTTTTTAGAGAATTCTTTGTCACGGCGGGTGTAAGGCTTCCAGATGTGGAAGACAGTTGGAAATGTAATACATAAGCAGTCGTGAACAGTCGAAAAGGGGTGATCCTACAAGCAACTCTTCACCGTAATAAAACCGCGTATCACGAAATGTTACACAGGGCCTCAGCACATCGTTGGATATTCCAAAGGACGCACGCAATGGAAAATGAATTGAGATTTGGAATATAAAATGTTTGGTGTCTCTGTTATGTGAGATTCTCTGAAAACAAACCAAACGAACGAGAAAATAAGAAAATTCAAAGTCCACCAACATACTTAATCACGCATACTTACTTATTTACTCTATGGATCCGAGTCCTTCCTGAGTCGCTCAGCCACTTAAGAAAGTCCCAACATTTTTTAGAACCAAAGGTTTCATTACCGTGTTCTCAAAAGCCCGCTACTGGTCCCTATCCTGTGCACAAAAAATCCATCCCAATCCGAGGCCCTATGTACCACTTCGTAATAAGTTATTTTTATGGTAGAGATTTTTTAGCCCCACGCCCACACGGGCGAGCTTTTGTGAACATAGTAATGAAAATTCATGCTTCATAAAATGCTGATTGTATTAACTTCTAAAAAGGGGCTCTATTCTATGAAAATAATTAAATGCTTTTAATTTGCTGAAGTGGGTGTTACATCTGCAGTATGCACATTTGCTTCGATGCCTTCAATGAAGAGAGACAGAGTAAAAGAGATAGAAAGTATAATAGAAGAGAAGGAGTAAAGAGAAAATTATGGAAGAGAAGTGAGAGAGATTAAAATAGAATTATTTTGTCAGAAGGTTCTCAGACTTTGCCCGCTCGTCTTTCTGATAAGGGTAAAAAAGTAAAGACGTTGAGGTGGTAAGGAGTACAGACTTGAGACAAAAGGCGGAATTTTGAATTTTTTATTACTGTATGATCAAATGATAATTTTAAACGATAAGTAATCCTTTAGCTTCCACAGTAAATGGGTAATTCTGTTAAATTTAAATAGGGGAAGCTGCATAAGAATCGTGCAGCAGGAACTTGATAATAATCATACTATTTGCTTAAAATTACAGGAAAAGAACGAAAAGCATTCAGGGAATGTTTTCTTGTTCTCATACACGAAATCGGCTCGGACCTCGCAGAAAACTCTTCGGCCAATAACTCAACATATGACACGGCTGATACACATTTCTCATTAATGAGGCCAGATGGCGGTAGTTTTCTACAAGGACAAAAAAGAAAACGTAATTTGTAATTAAATTCCGTGGTATCACGAACTTCGGTAAGATAGAGATCACAATATTATCAATGCAACAATTTTTTTATGATGAGAACTGAAATTCAATACCTATTTTACAATAACATGTTGCATGTAAAATGACGAGGGCTTCGATGGAAAGGAAGGGTGTTAAGTGTCAACGGCACTGAGCTATGAAAGGGGTTGGAAAGAAATAATGGAGAATTGTATTTGTAATTTATTTAACGATGCTTTTATATTATTAAACTCATAATCTGCATTACATTCCCCGAGAAGGCTGGAGAAAGTTTAATGCACATAACATACTAACATTTTGCCGTGGATAGGATATTAATGCTCCCTATGATAATGGATAGTGGATATGCGAGAACGCGAATATCTAAAGCGTGTATAACAAATAACACCTCTATTACCAGCATGCGTTAGTACATGATTGATTTCTGTTATTTAAAGATGATATTTTAAGCGTATAGCCACAAACGATCGTTAAAGGTAAATTAGTAATGATTTGAAAACGGGGTCTTGCAAATTTGGAGAAACTATAAGAACAACGGAAAAGCTTTTAAAAATAGCCAATTAAACAATATCAGTCTACAGCGTTACCGCTTAAATACCTTGACTGATTGTACTCATACGTTCTTACTTGAATAACTGCAAAGTGAAATTAATATAGAATAACACCCATGAATACAAAAAAAAAATATTCGAAACAATTTACAATTTTATATAGTTAACTGAATCAAAATATGCAAATAAACATATAATCAAAGAAACGTAATATCTTAAAATTAAAAACAACATTTTAATATTAATTTACTGCTCTTTAATGTGATTAAAGAGTCCATAATAATCAACCATGCAAATCAACTAACATGTTATGTTCTAACAGTCGGTTTGCTACGTGCGTTGCTTGTACTTCAAGTTGTCTGACAACATTTTATGTCTCCAGGGCCAATAATCCGGTTTTAAGTGCACTACCGCTTAGTTGGTTTGAGGAAACAACCAACATTATTGGTCGGTTAACAAACTTAAATAATTAATCTCATAGGGCAACCAAGAAAACAGCTGAACGGGACATGGCGCAGGGGGCGTGGCTGTCTGTTCATAATTAAATAACAGCATTTCCAATAATATATAAATACTGCATTATTTCAATACAGTATTAAAACCTCAACAGCTTCTGACGTTTGCAGTGGAGAGAGCAATGGCGTGTGTAAAGGCAAGTATCAGTGTTGTTCGAGAAGAAATATTTCTGAAACTCAATTTTGAAGTGCATATACACCGTTTTTTGAATGTAGTCTGATTCGAGAAAGAGAATGCATACTATCAGCAGTTCAATTTAAATATATTATCGGTTGTTACGTCGTGTAATCTGGTAGAAGTTTAGTGATATTTTTTCAGGGGAGTTGCCGTGATACTGGAGGCACCAAGCATGTCTGAAACGTCGGTATACTTGTACCACACTACTCGGCCCTACATTCTAGAAGACAGCCTAACTTCGTTTTTATTTTTATTTAGATTGTCTCATTTTAAGGCCTTTTTTATTTACGAGCCTATTTTTGGGACTGCGGATTCGTGAAATATTCACCTGAATGAAATTCCGTCAATAAATGTTGTTATAATTCAACACTGCATTTATTTATTTCTAATTTATTTATTAGCGTTATCAGTATATGAAACTATGCAATTTCAACGATTAATGAATAACGAAGTGGAATATAGAGTACTGCACAAGGTTTTACCTGCAGTGTCGGGGGAGGGGGGGTGAATTACAACACATCCTAGGCTAGGCGACCTGAACCCCGGATCTTCCGAACACGAAGCAGGTATATACTAGAAGTTAGGCTGCGGTGTTTGGTCTGCTTCATAATATACATAACTTATTATCGCCGTCACAGAGGTCGCGTAGTCTGAGGCGTGAGTCTTGTTCCGCTTGGTCACTGGGACCGTGGGTTCGAATCCCACTCAACGCATGGATATTTGTCCGCGTCTTTCTGTGTTGTGCTGTCCTGTGTACAGGTAGAGGCCCTATGACGGGCTGATCACTCGTCCAAGGAGTCCTACCAACTGTCTAATAGATCAAAGCCAACGACAAGTTGGGACCCGCAGATGCTCAAGGCACTGAAGAACGGGTCGTATAAAAAATACATAACTTATTTCACAAGCAATGTTTTTATAAAAGCAAGTAATTTCGCCAAAATCACTAGGATGACAGAATCTTTGATCGTGCGCCATTTAACATATTTTTTTTAAATTCCCGTGTTTGAGCTGTAAACCACTCGATTTATATAACACACAGAACACATTTAGACAAGAGTACCTACAAAATAAAGCACATTTCCAGTACTTGATTTTTCCATTCCGATCGTATTGTAACAATTACGTACCTACAACTAATAGGGATATAACTTATAATAAATATTCACATAGATACAAAACAATGGGGTAATGAAATTAGATTATCATATTATTTATAGGAACGAGAACTGGGGATTCCCTTAAAATGCGGCTGTACGAAATCGCAAAATAAACAGGACTTGATCTATTTCCACGAGCGCTTTTAAGCGACGTCTCTTTGGGCCATGTGATATAATTCACTTAGATTAGATTCGAGTTTCTAATAGGTACGAGAGAAAACCTACAAATTGGTTAAAATTTCTCTTCCTTTATCATTTATGTAAATTGAAATCTCATGTTATGATTAGCTTCAGAATAAGATATATTATTTATTGTCCGGACAGAATAGTTTTTTAAGTGACATCCACCAATTTTATACAACTGCTATGTTCTCTCATAGACTTACATGTAATTATTTACACCGTTAATTTAAAGATGCTTTGTTATCTTCATGAATAATATAATACAACAATAATTGTAATAGACAAGTAGGTAAGTAGAACTGAGTTTTTCACGGCGCTGAGTCCGTGCATGGCTGTCTAATGTGTTGTTGCTTTGCGTAGTCTGGTAGAAATTTACCAACATTTATGAGGTCCTTGCTGATTCCATCATCAGGGAAACGTCGGTTAACTTCTAACAGACTACACAAAGTAACAACCCAGAAGATAGCCATCATCAATTGGTAAGTTCGGTAAGCGACCGTGGTCTATTTTAAGACTAGGAAATATGAAAATATAGTTAGTCTCAGGACTAATATTCAAACACGGTATTCCAAAGTAGGAAGCAAAAATTCTGCATCCTACGTCGGAACGTTCAGTGTTCAATACAGGTTACATACAGAATTACCAAACCAAAAATGTTTGTTTGGTTGAGCGATTTACAAAATGAGACAGTTCTGCTGTCAATGTTACTTGCCGGTACGTCTTTAACTTAATTTATTCACCAACAAATACTGAAGACAAGTTTTACCATAAATCAACTATAGTTGTTGCTGTCTACAATACTAATTGCAACATTTATCAACTTTACACGACACTTTTATCTCTTATGAAAACCGAACACGTCCATAAGATTTATAGTCTTATTACAGTACAGCTTCAACTTCGATTATAGTTCCACTAGTGCAGACAATACCTTAATCGAAAGCTGTTTCATCCGTTTACTTCAAAGTTCCCTGACATTTTCTGTACAAATGAAAACTGAGCCAGTTTGTGTTATATTTCTCCAGTCGTTTATCAGCGCCTTCTGCGCCATAAATACTGAGCAAGTCGTCAAGTCCTCAAAGGTGCATGTATGGAATACATAAACGCGTTCTTTGCAACTTCTGAATTTGTAATAAAATATTACTTAGACAATTTTAGTTTCAAACTGTACAGATTACTTAATCTTTACTTAGACAATTTTAGTTTCAAACTGTGTAGATTACTTATTCTTAAAAGTCTTCTTTAAGAACCGCAAATCGATAAAAACGTCATAATTCCCTCAATCTCTCTCGTAACACTCTAGATTCGCAAGCAGGGGGTGATAGAATTTAATCTTGATAAAGTGAAATACTTTTTTTTTCATGCAGCAGTTATGTTGTTATTCCACATTATACAACAATTTTTTACAAATAAGGTTAGTATTTTCCGAATATCTATACTTGTTTACTTACTTTGAATACTTAGACGACGAGTTTTTAAGTGCCTTGAGAATCTGCGGGTCCCAACTTTCGTTGGCTTTGATCTATTAGACAGTTGGTAGGACTCCTTGGACGAGTGATCAGCCCGTCGCAAAGCCTCTACCTGTACACAGGACAGCACAACACAGAGAGACGCGGACAAACATCCATGCATTGATTGGGATTCGAACACACGGTCCCAGTGACCACGCGGCCACAGTGACGGCACCCGAATATCTATAACCATACACAAATGTATAGCCCTATTGCAAGTGGCACTAGTGTCAATCCCACCTCACAAATTCGTTCGCCAACCATGTTTGTATTATCGATTGTAGAAAATTGGAAAATTCGATTTCAGGTTAGTCCCCAATGGCATAATGTCCACACTAAATTTTATCCGTATCTGTTCAGTGGATCCCGAGTTGAATCATGTGGGCAGATAGACGAAAACGGCAGACATGATCATCCCTAAATGCGCTCACTTTATGAATATCGTGTGAATGAATCATAACTAATAATGTGATACTTTATGAGATAGGATATCGCGGACGAGTGCAACAGCAGATGTCGTGGTTCAAGCCACGTGATCGGCTGCTCTGACTTATGATCTTAATGGTTTTCATGGTTTCCTCTAAGAAACTATCGGGGCATTAGATAAGTCACTTTCTTCACATTTATCATTCACTAATTACCCTATATTCCGACGCTAATTGATATGACGTATGGTGAAATGATCGTTCCATGAACCCAGAATACATAAATAAAAAATAAGCGTCTGAAACACAAATTTTAATCTAGATAATATTTAAAATACATTTTATAAATAGATAAAAGTGCTCGTTAATTGGTTCATTCTTTTAAAACGATTATAATTGTTTCTTCTGAGAATCATACAAAACCCATGAATAAAATTCTGTGGGCAAAACTGAATTGGTGAATGTTAAACTGAATAGTACATACAACTATCACTGCGGCTTGTAGGGTTAACAGGCCGTATCTACAATAAAATTATATATTTTTTTAATAAAATTTATTTGTTTGTTCTTCATTTTTTTCACTTTATTATTATCCTTTATAGAAACCTGAAAATGTCGATCTATGCTCTGCATATTCTCTTCTTTACACAACTATCACAGTTAGTTTAACTATTTATGACATACATTAACAGGCGAATGGATGTGTAGTGATATAGCTGTTCATCCTGAAGTTGGTAAAAATTTCGATAAATGAACAAGAACCTGTAGTAAGACATCAATTTCTCAGGGCGGCGACTATTTAGATCTGACTGTCTTCTAGGTCGTTGGACCGAATAGTCTAGTAGTAGATAACCTACGTTTCTGATGTGCTTGCTACCTCCATCGACAGGGCGATTTTTCGTAGCAGCAAACACCTCTGAATTGTCTGTAAACTTATACCAGATTACACGGCGGAACAACACAATCGACAGCCATCTTAAGCAAGAAAATGGATTTAAAATGACGACCATACCCAGTGGAAGGAAGAACACTGCTAATGTCAGGTCTCTATTTTTGTTGCAGATCGCAGTTATCGTAGCTCTGGCGGTGACCACGCTGGCTTCCCCAGTCTACGAGAGTCAGTCGTACATCCAATCCAGTTCTGGGCATGCGATCTCTCATGCACCTATACTGACCTACGCACAAGAACCTGTGATCACTTACGCCCATGCTCCAATAGAAGCCGAACATTACGTACGTAAATCGAAAAGTTCTAAGAGAAATCTAATTTCATGGAATCCTTATTGTGATGCTAATAGTCAGTTAATCACTCAAAAAATTACCTATTTTCACAGAACCCAAATTTCATTACCATGCTCACAAGAGCCCGCCATCTTTCCTCATTTCGAACCAGATGAACTCGGTCCATATTCTCACACCTTAGCTTCAAAAACCATATTACCATCATATATAAAGTACCATGTTAATATTACCTAACTCCATCAAAGACCTTCTCAAGGTTGTGATAATCGATCAGCTCATCAATAAACCTCCAGCCTTTATGTAATTTGAATATTCGATACCGTGTTAAAAACAGCCTGTCAATGGACCTTATCCTAAGTCGCTTTAACACAGCTCAAAATGGCACCTGATTTTAACATTAGATTCCTATCTATACCTTGGCATCCTAAGAATTCTCTTTCTTTCAAGTTCTCCTACTAAAATTTTGTATTTATTTACAAATCTTAAATATAATTATACAAATTTCGCCTAAAAATTATCACACCTCACATCCGATTCTTTGAACAAAAAGGTGAACTGAAATTTAAAAAAATGTTATTCGTAATCAGAACCACGTACAGACACCAGACGGGTCATGGTACTTTCACTTTTATTTAATCCAGAAGGAGCATGCAATGGCTCCTATTCAACGACTATTATCAACATTAGTCACTTTGTCGAAGTACTTACAATCTCATACTGCTGATACCTAAGAATACACACTGAGGCTTATTTATATTCCGCACATGACACTTCATTGCACAGAAGCACTTCACTGTACCTTTTCCCAATTAGAAAATATCACATCTTCGTAAGTTTCTTACTTTTTCAGGCTCCCCCTCAGTACGAATTCAAATATGGTGTCAATGACGAACACACTCATGACATCAAGGAGCAGGCCGAGAGACGTATTGGGGACAAAGTTGAAGGTTACTACAAGTTACTTGAAGCTGACGGCACCACTCGTACCGTCCACTACGCCGCTGACAAACACACCGGGTTCAACGCGCAAGTCGTGAAGTCCGGTCACGCTGCTCATCCACCACCTGCACCAATCCAGAAAGTGGTAGCTGCTCCTATCCTGACATACACCCACTCAACACCTACTCTGAGCTACAGTAGTGGGCTGGGGGCCTACCATTAAGATCCGCGTCATATTTAAGGTTCGACTGCTGGTCAAGCTCTAGAAATAGGACTATGTGTGTTCGCAAATGTGATATATTTTAGTTAATGTACGATCGATCGCAAAAATTTGTATTTCCAGATTGTTTCTACTGTTAGAAAAAAAAAAGTACCTGGCCATGCTCATGTCATCTATTTATGTCTGTTAACAAATATTAAGCTGGAATAATGCCTTCTGACTTTCATCACCCATTCTCTGCATTTTGTACATTCACGAGTACAGTACAATCTAGTGGATGGAAAGAGAAACTGTCTTCAACGGAAACAGTTTTAATAGATTGATTTGAATTATGTGCACAGAATATTTTCATAAAAATATGAGTAGCTATAAGTTATTATTTATAATACTACTGTACCAATTTTATTGTCAGTAAATATATTGATATCCACTTTATATTAATTACTTTGTCATTTATTATTACCTACTGCATTTAATTTAATAAAATCAGATCCACTTCTACAGTAGAGAAGTAAATTATTTCATAGGTTTCATATTAATATTGACCTACTGCATTTAATTTAATAAAATCATATCCACTTCTAGAGTAGAGAAGTAAATTACTTCATAGGTTTCATATTAATATTATATAAGCTACGAGTATTTTAATGAAGTTGTTAATTAAATTATGAAATATAATAGCACTTCAACATAATTATATTACATTTTAAAACAATTTGTTTCGTTCGTATAGATAGGCGAACAGATATAACTGTTTTATAAGGTGCTACGCTGGAATGTAAACTCGGATAAAAATCAATATCCTAATTTTTATTAAATTTAACAGTCCCCAATAGTCGTTATAAATCAAGCTTAAGAATAAGTGTTCCTCCATATTGTTTTATACTTCACAAATAAGGCGAGTACGGAATTTTACTAAACCTGATACCAAGGTTTACTAAAATTTGTTGACACACTCGTAGTCAAAATCGGATAAAAAGTGAGGGTACTTTAAATGAGGAAGAGCACACGTTTAACCTGCTAAATTATTTATTTATTTATTCTATTTTATACGACCCGTTCTTCAAGTTCCTGAGCACTGCGGGTCTCAACTTTTCGTTGGCTTGACCGGTAGGACTCCTTGGACGAGGGATCGGCCCGTCGCAAGGCCTCTACCTGTACACAGGAGAGCACAACACACAAAAACGCGGATAAACATACATGGTTTGAGTTGGATTCGAACCCACGGTCTCAGTGACCAAGCGGCAGAAGGACCACGCCTCGGACCACGCGGCCACTGTGACGGCTAAATTAATTATTAGGTGGGAAATCTCAAAGCTACCTTACTTTGTAAGATTTTAAGATTTTCACGGCAGAAAGTCCGAAGATGGCTGTCATCTAGGTTGTAGCGCCGTGTAGTCTAGTTGAAGTTTACCAATGCTACAAAGATCCTTGCTGCCTCCACCATCTGCGGTTTGACGATTTAATAGTGTTACTAGTACAAAAGACGAATTTAAATTAAACGGAGAACAATTTCATTCGCATTTTAAACCTTTATGCCTTTCCTTTAACTAACTATACCTTTTCATCCTTTAACATTTCTGAAAGCTTTCTAATGGTAGTAGAACTTGGAAAATAGAACACCTGCTACAGAGAACATGGTTAGTCACGCATAATACTCACTTAGTTAATCACAAACCATATTTCATTTTACAACAAAATAGTGTGACATACTATTATAATGGATTATAACGACAAAACTAGTCTACCCTGACGAAGGATGTAGAGTGCTAATGGCATCGACTGGGCGTAGAAACTACTGAGAAATACAAAGTGTCTGTTTTACTGATAAACCTATGGGAAACTTTTAATGTAACGCTGAGGCTATAAAACTAAAAATTAACATGATAGCATAGAATTTTTGGAGATTTTCAAAATGTTTCTTGGAACGTAAAACAAGAGCATTTCTTACAGACTTTACTATAGACCACCAAACTAAATACGTCCACGTAGAACAGTCCTTCAAAAATGTTCTCGCCTTTTGTAAAATCAGAAGGTCCATTGCCATGTTCACAACAGCCCACCTCACACCAAAACCTGAACATGAAGAACACAATATGCAGTCCAACCCTATATTTTTAAGATCCATTTTAATATTATGCTCCTATTGACACCTAAGTAATCTGAGTAGTTTGTTTCCTTCAAGACTTCTAACCAAAGACTTCTTACGAATTTCTCATCCGCCATTAGTACTACGTTCCCTAACCATTTCGATAAATTCTGTTATGGAGCGCTGCATTAAGAATAATCTTCACACACCCAAAAGTGCATCTGGGAATCAAGTTTTTAGGTAAAAATAAAAGAAACTCAAATCTACATTATATTATGTTTCATGACTAGAACACTACTTCAACAATCTACGATCCGCTATTTTAGTGACTCACATCAACATTCGAAATAAATTAGCTACTTACAATATAAAATAGTGGATACACAGAAATAAACTACAATTACTGATATAAATTAAGAGATGCTCTACATATATTATTAAAACAACTGTTGACTAGGAAGCAGAGAGAAATTTTTAGGTAAAAAAGTCTTATTTTTAACGAGCTTTGTTGAAGCAAACTGTTTTGTGGACATTATACATAGTCCAAGACTAAACAAAACCAATAAATCACAACGTTTCGAAGATTGGAGTCTATCTCCGTCTTCAGGTAAAACCTACTCTGTTGGACCCAATCGATAGAAAAATCTCTATCTCCGGACATAGCAAAAGTGAAAATCAAATTATATAACTAAGCAGGAAAACAAATATTCTTGAGAGATAAAGAAATAAATCATTCTCCAAAGATTACAGAACATGAGTAGGAGATGGTGCATATGACAGGTAACATACCTTCCCTCTGTTTCAATATTGTACATTTTCAATAAAAAGTAACTTTCTGAAGTGTATACTTGGAAATAAGAAAGGAAGAAAACTGCATTATGAGATAATTCATAATTTTTACACATCACCATTTTCGCTGTGGTCATTAAATTAAAAAGGTCTGGATGGACGGAG